AATTTGGGATTTTTGGAACACGTGCAGGTACCAGTAGTGCGTTTCAGTCCCCGAAAAAATTCAGAGAAAATTAGGGACAGCTTGCAAGCGCACTGTGAAGCCATGTTCGGACCCCGAAACGAGTAAGGACCCCTCACCCTATTTCCTATCACGGTATTAAAGTTCAATAATGATAAAACGGTATTTCTTGAATCAACAAATGTGTGAAATTGCTTAAGGTCGCTAATGGAGACCGAGTCTAGTGTGTTTGTCGGTTAACTGTTATTTGGCCTGTTTTACAGTTTTAAATGCAGTATGAGGTTTGATGTTTTCATTTTATAGTTTCGTGTGCATATTGTACTGTTTTATTAATTATGGATTGAATGACTGGGATATTGATACTGTATATTGTCTGTTTGGCATAAATTACTGTTTTGCTTGTTTGTATGTGGATTGATGATGCTGACTGAGGGAAAAGAGAATGATAGATTATGTAAATGGGTAATTGTATAATGTGGTCAGCCTGACTAGATATCTTGGGAGATGGTGGACGGACCGGGTCCGTAGGGAACCCTACCGGGATTGTGGTCTCCCATACCGGACGGGGTATGGAGATCTTATGTGTTTTGGCGCCCATACCGGACGGGGTATGGGGACAGCCCGTTTCACCCTCATACCGGATAGAGTAATGAGGTCTATAGTTTTGGCGCCCATACCGGACGGGGTATGGGGACGGCCCTGGAAAAATGATTTCAAGTGTTAAGGGTTAACGGGTAGCGGGACCCCTATGGATCCCCATGGATACTAGTGGGCTGGTAAATGAGGAAAATATGTTGTGTAACGATTGAATTACGAAAAACTTGATAAGTATTATGTTATACAGTTTATATATGATTTCATGATGATGATGATGTTATTGCTTTCGTACATTGTTTTATGGATTCTATCAAGGTAAGTGAATGGTAAAGGTTTTATTATTAATAAAAGGATTTGTTGTAAATTATGCTCCATTGGTCTTTTTGTGTTTTCTACCCACCTTTACCTCCGTGACGGTGAGATATCGTGATGTCTTTACTGGGCTAGTGTAGCTCATTCCTTATTTAATCATTTCAGATCAAGAGGACATCGTTCCCGAGCCGGTTCCGCAGGAGGACGACGAAGGGGACGCCTAAAGACTTCATAGTCATATTCGTAGGTTTTACTTTTAAGTTTCTCCTTTAGGTAGTTTGATCTTTTATATTTTGTGAGCACGTTTTTTGTTTTAGTGTAAGGGATGCTATTCAAATTTTGACTTCGCTTCCGCATTTGATATTTTTAATATACATTTCATTTTAAATTTCCGGAGCTGTTACATAATATATTTAAATACTATTTATATTTAACATTTTAAGTAAAAAACTACTATATTTAAAAATAAATAAATAAAAATATTAAATATATAATTTATTATTTTATTATCCGTTCTTGAATATTAATTATAATAATTAAAATAAAATTAAAAAAATAGAATTTCAAGCTCGTTTATGCTAAGTAAAATAAAAAATATAAGCATACATGCACCTTAATACAAATTAAGGTCATAGTTAGAAAATCCCGACCTCTTGATTACAGATTTCATAATATGTCAACTATATTATTCTAATTGAAATAACATCATGTATAATTCACGTTTGTTTTATGTTTGTTCAATTCGTAAATTTTAAATTTAATTATATTTTATGTACTTAGTGTATAATTAAATCAATCCACATATTTTTTTGATGATATGATAATATAATTATATTTCTATTTGCTAACGGATGAATTATAAAATATTTTAACTTGATTTGGATATGAAAATTATGTGGAATTAAAACTAAAATTCTATCTGTATTATATTTTCATTCTTATTTATGGAATATTAAAAGTTGGATATAACTTATTTATGGAATATTTAAATTGTGAAATTATTTTTTTAAAAAAAGAATTAGTAAAATTACTCTTTTAATAATTTTTACGTATTTATTTAATTATGTCACATTTGATAAATTTACATATCTAAGAGTTAGAAGCTAATTATTCATTTTAGACTGGAAAAGCCTTTAGATCATATGGTACTTCAGAGATAATGTATGGAGTGAAGAATGAGGGGCGCTAGAAGTACAAACATCTCTCCAGGAATGTGTGTAAAACTTCTTGATTTCAACATTAGCTGTAAATTCAAAGGTTATCAGCTTTAGATTATTTAAGATTGAAATTCTAAGTTCAAAATTTGTCTATTTAGTAGTGTCATTGGAAAATATTTAGGATGAGTTTGATGCTCAATTTAAATTATGTATTTTTATAATTGTCTATTTAATTCAACGTTTTAAAATAAAAAATTTAAATAAAATTGATTTAATTATACAGTAAAAAAGATAAATTATAACTAAATCTTATATATTAAATTATCAAAAATCTAATTATTAAATAAAAATATGTAAAATTTAAACCAAACATAATGCTAATTCTAATCAATTAATGCAAAGCTATAGAGGAAGCTGACTAAACCAAGCCAAGTTTCCATCTCACATACCTGAAAAAAAGGTTAAATTTATCGCAAGACATCATAACTCTCTTGAAAGAAGCATCAGCGCCTCTTTTGTCGGATTTAATATCATTTTCACCATGATTTCTCTACTAATGTTAATCATAATAAATATTTATACTTAAAATGACAAATTAACTTCAAAGAGCTCTACAGTAGAATAAACTTTCTTCTAAACCTGATATGCTGCTTTGTTACACCTGATCATAATCAAATCAGCAATAACAAAGATCCGTCAGCTTACACGTTAGCCACCCAGACTGTAAGCCTCCTGATTGTATGAAGAGTTGTGTCCTACCAAACCTTCCTGCCACTTCTTTCGTTTTCTCATCCCAAAAATACAGCTTCCTTACACCTTGCATAATCAAACCCCAATAACAAAGATGTGCGGCATACACATTAGCAACCCGGCCTGTAAGGGTCCTTATATGTATGAAGAATCAAACACTTGGCAGAGAAAACCAGAGACTCGTGGAAAAGAACACTTGCCTGCCACTTCATTTTCTCATCCCAAATATCTATTATCTAAAACAAAAGCATTGCCTTGATTATATTCGTATACTGTAATAAATTTACCTCGATCAAATTTTTTTTCCCATATTTAAGTCTGTAATCAAGTTTCAAACAACACAACATTCATCATCCTCTTGAGTGATGCAAATGAAAATGGCTGGAATTTATAACCATCACCCTCGTAGAACTTGTTCTGGAATTCCACCCAATGAAGACGCAATGCATGCAAGAACGCACTTAGGGTTTCCATTACTAGTAGAACACCCACAGTCGCAAAAATAAATACAACAATACCAACAATAAGAATGATGACATTGTTGAACCTGCAGATGTTCACAAAATAGTACATCATTAACTTGTTGGTAGAGCACTCCAAAAACAATAATGCAACGGGAAATGAACTTACCCCCAGGCAAGAAGTAAAACCTTGTCATAGAACACACTTGACAACTCAGAATGAGCAAGGCTGAAAACAAAACAAATCAGATGAATAAGATTTGGCTGGAATGCAATCTACAAGTTACCATGTCCAGAGTCATCAGAAAACTGAAGCTGACATGTCTGAGGTTGAGTTTTTCATTTGTTATGAACATAGTCTTCAGGAGTTTTGCAAACCTAACTGAACAACTTATCTAGCATGAGGTGGGCCAAGAGAATGAAAACCTAGTTTGATGTAAGTCAAGCCCAATTCCCACCAGCACACTTTTTTAGCCAGTAGAGATAAAAGCTTCCAATTCATTGAGAAACTACAGTTAAAAGAGGTCTACTCCAGGTTAGCAGGCTTTAGGTAAGATGGGTTCCAGCACAAACATGAAGCTAGATCTTCTAATACAAGCTTTCCTCTCCTATTTATAAAAGATAGTACTACTAGTTTTATTGTACATCAAACTTAGATTCATCACCACAGTAACAATGAATTAATTCATAGTTCCCTACTGCACCCAAATGAAAAAGTAAAACCTTATCAGCTTTTCCTTTTGACCTACTGTTTTTCTACAAAATTAAAAGCATGTTCAGCCATCTTCAGTTTTCTGTTTGAGAATAAAGTAATTCAAGAGAACCGCATCTATCAAATCCTCATGGAACCCAGATATCAGAGCAATGTAATTATAAAAATGAACACAGCAAACTTGTGAAGCATAGGAAACTAATTTTTAATAGCAATCATGAATATACACACATGTAAGATGCTTGTTTTATCTTGAAAGGCAATAAAAATAGCTTTTGGCTCAGCCATACTAACCTGAGGGCCCATAAACGTAAATATGAAGCTGTGTTGGAGACAGCTCCAAGTACAAACTCTATGGTGTGTATAAGCTGATGTACAAAGATCTCACTGAACACAAATTTCTCATGGTTATGGGAATCATCACAAGGCTCCATTTCAAGAGGATCATCAAAATTATGAAGTAATGCATAGGATTGACCACGGTGTCTCTGGGGAAACATGGAGTTAGAATATGCTGAGTAGGGGAATTTGCAAGACGGGATGAAAAAAGAAGTTTCAGAATACAAGTCACTACACTTGAATAATAAAAAAATGCTAAGCATACTTCTTCGTGTTGCTCCTTCAAAAGAAAAGGCTTGGGAAAGAGCATCCATGGAACAGCAACAATGGCCAAAAGCAGCAACAAAATCTGGTAGATAAATATGATACATGAGAAAAGTTAGGCCCTTAAAAGTCATAAGAAAAATTTCAGGATAATTAAAGTAATAAAGATAAAACCTGAAGAAACTTTTGTCCAAAAAAAAGCTGGTTGTCTCCTAGATCCTCGGTGGGTTTGAGGAACATGTATATCATTACGTGATAAAGATCAGCTTGTGAACCAGTGCACCATTTCACAATTATGAGGAGTGAAAGGTAGCCAAACAGGCTGTTTAAGAATATCATCTGTGGAACAAATTGGTACCTAAAGCAATTTATTAAAAGGAAGATTATAGTCAAACATAATTGCAAACCAACATGCTCAGAGAAACAAGGGACAAAAAGTTATTCTCAGAATCATTTCAAAATGTACATAGGCAAAGTAAGAAAGTTTACCAGATATTTAAATCATTTCTGAAGAATTTTGCATTGAAATAGCTTAAAATAATTCCTAGATTCATTTGAGCCACGCCCAACAATATTGACATCTTCATCTTCAATGAGTTAAGAAATGGTAATTCAGTCCGAGTACCATGCCACCGAGGGTCAATGCCAAATGGATAAGGGGCACGCACTTTGGTTAAACCCACTGTAGAAGCATCCCTGGAATATAAAATGATAAGAGTAAACACCTGGATCGGACGCAAGAAGAGGTGCAAAAATGTATAACAATGGTCTATTTTCCTCATTCCTCATACCTGCAGGAAGGGTCACGACATCCATAGGCAGAGGGCCCAAATAGTTCAAAAGGGATGGAGAAGAATTCATTATATATTAATCCAGTATAGATTGAGAACAGTGCCATCATCATAATCACATAACGACCCCCAAAAGTCATTTCTACTATATCTCCAAGCTTCTGTAATTTAAAAGCAGAGTCAGATGAGCTGATGCTTATAAGCACACAAGCTTTCAAACACGAGTTAATTGATTACCTGGCTGGAAAATTTCTTTTCCCTTACTATGAAGTACAATGTCGCCAACAACAAGCATATACCATGGCCCCAATCACCAAACATGACAGCAAAAAGAAAAGGGAATGTAATAATTGTGTAAACACCAGGATTTGTTTCTCGATACTTCGCGACACTGCAACATGATTGTGTCAGCTAATTCCATTTGAAAGCAGGATTGCTAGGCAAATATGAAATAGTAGGAAAGTATAATACTCAAATGCTTTTTCTATGCTAAGGATCTTTCAGATCAATGATTCGTTTCTGTGTACCTAAAGAGGAACAAGTAGAGCTTTTGACAATTCTGCTTCCCCTTTCCGTGAATTAGAGATCATTGGTTTAGGACTTTCTGTGTTTTGCTTAAAGGGCACCATATAGTTGATGGTGTTGATATTTTGGATCTCCTTCATCTTCTCCCCTGTAGGAGATTGTTAAGTTTACCTTTTCTTTTTCTATTTTTTATTGCAGTTTCTTAGTCTCTTAATAGAATCTTCTCTTTCAAGAAAAGAAAACCCTATAATGAGTAAGAAAAGGGGATAAATGAAACTACATTCAAAATAGTAGTGGAACTTGAGATTAGAAATAAGTTTCACTGCTATAGGTGCTGTTTGATCCTCTAACAAGATTAACATATCTAAATGGCTCAATTTCAGACCAAAAAGAATTTGCAGAATTGACCAGCTGCAGCAGAACCCACTGTTAAGACTAATTCTTATGACAGACAGTATAGAAAGCTTAATGCAGCTTTGCTACTGCCTGTAACATGTTTTAGATATCCATGGCATGTTCCTATGCAGAGACGAGCCAGAAGAAAAATTCTGCTTCCTCCTTTTTGCAAGTTATTGATTTATAGACTTATGGCTAGAACATAGCTGCCAGCGAATATACAAATAAATGCATCCTTCTTAATGATCTTTTTGAACAGACATCCTTATATTAATTTCTAGCCCATGTATTTTTATTTCTTAGAGAAAAACCGTAACTGAACTAATAAGACGGCAAAGTATCAATAGGGTCCCTATGTCTCCATCAATTTCTAGACACTATTGAATAACTTGATGCAAGTAAATTATATCTTCTCATAATGTACTTCTGTAACTGCATGATTCCATCCTGAACCAAACATGAGTCTTTTGATTTATTTCGTACTTGCACTAAATTAATTCACTTGCTTGTCAATCTATTACTTGATTGGAATTAGTTGCTGATATCTTCTTTCTTTTCGTCTTTAAAGACACCAAAACCAATAGCTATTACATGAGATTAGCAAACAGAAACCAAGATTTCCATATCAAACATTCCTCAAAAGGAGAAAAGATAATTCCCTTATCAAGAAGATGCAGCATAACTTTCAATTTCAAAGTAGCATAAATAAGTTGCAGTTACTGAAAAGTATATAGCATCTTGATAACTAAAAATTATTTCAATTACATATAGCTAAATTAAAGTAGGCTCACCCATATGCATCTACAATTTCCTGAAATGCAGATGTAAATTTGTTTGTATTGAAGTAGGTTGGTGGTGATTCCTTTGTTTGCAAAATGTGGAATATGGAGCCAACTTGTGAGTTGCTATCAATGGTTGCCTGCTTCAGCGCATTTTGAATCTGCAAAAATCAAACTAACTTAAGCTCATTTGGCAAATTGATTCTTGTGCTATGGTTGATTAAAAGAATTGTGAGGTAAAAGCATTTTATGGTGAAAGCTGTATATTTGGTAACCTGTTGCACAAAATATTGTTAATGTAATATGCCTCATTCCATCCGATTAAATATGATATAAAATATATAATGATGTTAAGATGATCAAATGCATAACAATAAGAAATTACCAATAAGTAATTTAAATATTATTATGATTTTTTTGTAAAAGTTTTCTGATATTTTAATTTATTTAAAAGTAAATTTATAGGCATGTTATCTAATATAAATATCAACTTTAATTTAAAAATATTTAAAATAAATTGTAATAAATATTAAATCATAAGTAATAAACTAATGTTACACTTTTATGTGAAAGATAAATGAATTAATTAAAGAAAAAATTAGTAAATATATTTATTAAAGCTGCCATTCATGTATTTAAGAAAAAGTAATATCTCAAGAGCTTTTTTAACTTTTTGGTATTAACTTATCATAGTTCACAATGAGGGTGCTTGGGTTAGTTTATTTTGGTGCACAAAGACGCTTAAACCACATTTTGGTTAAAAGAAAAAGTTAAAAGATAGTTCGATCACTCCAAAAAGTATTAAAAGCTACAGAGCTTTTACTTCAAAGTAAAAAGATCCTAACACTGGCTTTCTGAGAGTTTTAAGTAGTAAAAAGAAGAAGCTCCTTTTAAACATTCTTTTTACCAAAATAAATATTATCAAAATAAAAACTATATTCTTAGCTACCTGCATAAAATACTCCTTATTCTCTTTTATTAGAATATCTATCATTTTTACTTTTTTAATAGAAAAAGAAGCTTTATTAGAAGGAGAGAACAAAATACATTCCTTGAGGATAAGGCATCCCCCAAAAATGAAAAGAAAGCAAAGATGAGTTTGAGATCAAACTGAAAATATCCTAAATGCTAGAGATAAATAAATTCCAGTTCCAATGAAGATTGGAAATAATTGGGGTTGGGTAGAACTCTTGACCCTTTGCCCACAATGATTCTATCATTTGTAACTTCATCACTAATAGTAACAAAAGGATTGGTAAATATTACAAATAGTAAAATTTAGTAATAAAAATTCTAATACTTTTAATTAGCAAATCTAAAAGTAAAAAAAAAAAAAAAACTTCAGAATTATTCTTAAGTATTACTTAAACGAGAAACTAATTGGTAAAAGAAATCACTTAGAGAAGCTCTTCTATTTTAAGTGCTTGACCTTTTTCCTTTGTTTCTTTCTTCCTTTTTTTAGCAATATTAATACATGTAAGATA